CACCTAGAAATCAAAATATATGTCCACACAAAGATTCATAGACAAATATTCATAGTAGCTTTATTTGTAAGAGCGTCAAACTAGAAGCCACCCCAATGTCCATCAACAGGGACATGGATCAAGGAACTATGGTACCACCATGCAGGAGAATATAGCTCAGCAGTAAAAAAGAAACAAACAAATCCATATTCACAACAGCATGATGGAATCTCAGAATAATTACAATAGGTGAAAGAAGCCAGACCAAAAAAAAAAAAGAATTCATACGTATAATTCTGTTTATATAAAACTCTAGGAAATAAGAACTCATCTATGGTGGTTTTTTGTCGGGGGAGGCAGAAAGGAAGGATTACTAAGGGACAAGAGGAATTTATCTGGGTGCTGGGAATGTTCGTTATCTTGATTATGGTGATGCCTGTGTACATAAATCAAACTTATTGAATTGTATATCAAATTGTGTGATTTATTTTATGTCAATTATGCCTCAGTATGTATTTTTTTAAAAAGAAAATAGGCTACCATTTGACCTACAAAATATGAATAATTTTTAAGGAATGTATGTCTTTGCAATGCAATTATACATTTCTGAGAGCATCAGTCGATCAAACTCACAATATTATGAAACATACAAAGAGATCTTAAGGATTCTATCATTTACTTACTTTTTTAAAGTTAAGAAACTAGACCAGCTGGGGGTAAATTGACATGCCCCAAATGATATAAGAATGTTGTGTGTCTGAGCTAGACTGTAAAAAGGAAAGCCGTGGTTTCCTGCTGCCCACAGAGCTAAGTCACAGTGACATTTTAATAAATGGTCAATAATGTTGAGTCCAAGTAGTCTCACAGTTGACTGCCTGATAGTAAATCCACTGGGTGAAAAATTCAAACGGCCTTTCTAATTGCCGTTGAGTACAGTACAAAATAACCGGTAGTTTCATCTGACCGTAAATCTCGATTGGAATATTTTGGTATATTCTATACCCCATATTGATGGCTTTAAATGGAATGCATTCAATATATTTAATATTTGCTTCTGCATAAATAAGAAAATGGCACAGTTTCCTCAGGAGAGTTTACTTTCTACTCTAAGAAAATTGTCATAATACGCTGTTTTTGGTTTGAGATGAAACCATTTGAATTCCATCTGCTGGACAATGGGCAGAATAAGTACACAAATCTATGGTTTCTTCAATGCAAATGGCACCTCAGAGAGCTGTGGTCCCCAACCCCTCAGGGCCACAGAGATCCCCCTCTCTCCCCCGCTCCTCCTCCCATGGAAAAATTGTCTTCCATGAGACTTAGAGAAGAGGGTGGGTGTGCACCGCAGGAGGGGAGCGGTGGGTGAGTGGGTGGAGTGAAGCTTCATCTGTATCTACAGCCTCTCCCCTCCCTATTGCTCCCATCACTGCCTGGGCTCTGACTACCCTCCACCCTCACCCCTGTGCCCCCTCCTTTCCGTGGCAAAAATTGTCTCCTACGAAACCCATCCCTGGTGCCAAAAAGGCTGGGGACTGCTGCCATAGAATACTCCAGTGATGGAGACCCTAGATGTACATTTATTAGAAACGCGATGTACCCCTAATTTATTCGAAGTATAAGCGCTATAATTTCAAACAAGGTACTTAAGTATTCATTCTGAAACATCTTCAACTGGTAAGCATGGGTGTATTCTCATACCAATGTACCTAAGTAACTCTTTTTTTTTGTTTTCATTTTTTTTTTTCTTTTCTTAGAGATGGGATCTCCCTCTGTTGCCCAGGCTAGAGTGCAGTGGTGCAATCATAGCTCATGGCAGCCTCCAACTCCTGGGCTCAAGGGATCCTCCCCCCTCAGCCTCCCGTGTAGCAGGAACTACAGGTGTGAGCCACCACGCCGAACTCTGTAAGTAACTTTTAAACTCATTTTGTTTACGTTGAAGTTTTTTGGACCTTTGGGATTTAGAGGCAAGATTTTTCTCCATCTTCAGGGAGAAGCACTTTAAGCCTCATCTTTTATGAGTGGAATGTATGTAAATAAACCAGCTCAATTATATTTTAGAGAAACAATTTGCAGTAACATTCCTTGCAGTTGAAGATGACTAAGGATGAGGTAATGGTGGCTGGGCAACATGTTTTAGTTACGACCGCACTCGAGAGAGAGTTTGGTTTGCTTCCCAGCTCCACCTGGGCCAAGAAAAGTAATTACGGTGATTAATAATAATATTTGATCTTCTAGTCCCAGAGCCCACTCCTCAGAGCTGGTATTATCTGGGGGCAGAGAAACAAATTGCAGGAAGGAAATGAGAAGTGCATCCTACCATTTGAATTCTTGAGCATTACACAATCCCAAAGCTGCCATTGCAAATCCTGTGTGTGTGTGTCACCCATGGATTTTTACATGGGGGATTTCCAGCATCTTGAACTCCTGAGGTAATGTTTTTGCTGGCGAGGGACACATTTTTAATTAATACCCCTTAAAGAACACCTCCTCATGTTCATACATGCTGTTATGGAGTTTGTGCATCACAATGGGGAAGAACACATTTCAGTGAATCAGGGCCTCTGCTTGGAAAATCATAAAAAGACAAACCAAAACATATATTTTTGTCCTAAAAAAAAGACAGAGAAGAGAACTCATGTTCTCGTCTCTGGCAGGATTCTAATGGTCAGTGCAAAGAGCACCCAAGGTTTAATAGAAATACATGAATGAAAAGAGAGAGAAAAGGGGGAAAAAAAAATCCCTGCCCAGGGCAGGGCTGGGTTTCAAGACTACAGTAGCCTTCAGCTCTGCCACTACCAGGACGCGTTGCTATGGGAACCATTGCAAAAGATTAAATATATCAAGAGTACATGATTGTGAGAAATGGATGGGAAAGAGAATTATATTAATGTGAAATGGTGGTTCTTCTGTTTGTGGGATTTCCACTTTTTTTTTTTTTTTCCGAATCACATCCAAAAACTCATTTTAATTCATAAACATAGAATTCATTAACAAATAACTCTTTGCTGTCCTGCTAAATCAAGAGCAAAGGAAATGTTCATTTTTATCCCAGTGAAAATGAAAGAGTGGTGCTTTCTTTGCAGTGTTTGCTTGTTTTCTGGCTCCAGTATCAATTTTGGGAGTAAATTCTGCCATCTCTCCTTGACTGGTGAAATAGTCTTATAGGGGTGTGTTGGCAGAAGGTTCTGGAGGGCGGGTCTGCGTGAGGTTCCTTCCTTCCCTTCCGTCTGCCATACGTCCCACGTGCCGTATTTACATTAGCTTTAGGATCTGGGAAAATGTGTTGTTTTTTTTAATTCTGTTGTCTTCTGTTGCAATTCTCCTTAGCAAAAATGTACCTGGAGGGCCAAAGTGAAAAAGATGAGTTCCTTAAGAAAGGTCCTTAAAATAGTGTCAATGCTGAGATTTGAAATGGATATTCACAAAGTGCTTTCAAGAGAACCTTTCTTTTTATTGTCATGGGTGAGTTTTTTTTCCAGTCTACAAGATGGAGATGCAGTTTTTGCATCTTACCTTGCAGGTGGCGGGAAGCTGTATCAAAAAGCTTTCAGAACTTACTCGTGGAGTCCCGGGACTCCGTGCTCAGTGTGGTTTTGTTTTTAATCATGTTGTCCCTTTGCCCTGTTGGAAGAATTTATTTATTTGAAGAAGCAAGATTAAAATCAGAAAAGCCTGTTGTTTCTTAGTTTTAAGTTCAGATGAGGTAGGTTTCTGAAGAAGGATGGGAAAGTATTTCCCTCCTTGGCAATGAGCTTGGGGTCATGTTTCAAAGCACATCTCGGCAAGGAACATACTGCACTTTTTTTTTTTGTTGTTTACTTTGCCGTTTCCCACAGCACAGAACTGCACCCTTTTATTATTGCTGTCACAGTTGACTGAAGAAGAGCTGGTTGTCCAACAAGAGGATGCTCTCCAGAGATTTATTCCATGCACGTTTTGTTCTAGCGAAATGGTGTAACAAGAAATTTCGGTTTAAAGAATGTAACACCTACCACGTATAGATGTATCTCAGCTGAAGTTTTTTAAATGAAGAGGTAGACGGTGTTCATTCTTTTTAAAATATGGCCTCACACTGTTTCAAGTCCAGAAGCTTCTCACTTTAAAAGTCATTAACCGGTAAGAGAAGGAAGATGGGGCACTGTAGCCAGGAGGGACAGTGGAATCTTCCCTTTCTGTGCTCCAGGTCCCTCCAGATAAGGGCCTCAGAATAGATTTGACCTCTGCTTCTTCCCGAAGGAACCTAAAGGCTCAGTGTTGCTCAGTGTTGCTCTTTGGTTGTTTTGGAAATGTGTCCAAGGACAGGAAGGGGTATCAAAGATTGGGATATAAAAGGTTGGAGATTGTTGGTCCCTGGGTTGGAGACCAAAAGGGAAGTAGCTTTAAAGGATTTGAATGGGAAACAGGAATAAAAGATATTTTTTGTTGGGAGAAAAAAGTGATCATTAAGTTTTCTTCTGTTAAATCAATTAATAGCAATAAACAACAGCAAGCAGTACCAAATCTGTCATGGAGTGACAGGTTGCTAGCTACCGCGTGCTTTTCGGACAAAAGCGTGTTGACTCTCTTTTTAAAAGCAACTCGATGAGGTAGACTCTCATCTGCATGAAGATTATCTCAATTTTGCAGACTCCAGCGTGGCTCGCTAGCTAAGGGGTACCCTGAACCAATGCCTCCGCCTTACCTACAGCTTCGGGAAGTGGCCAGGAGTAAAGTAACGTTTTGGGCACGCTGACAGCCCCTTCATTTGACAGTTAAGGTTCTTTGAGGACTCTGGCCAGGGATGGTAATGTTCTCCGAGTCAAGTGTCACCAATTGTTCCCTCCCACCCCCCTTTCGTGATGCACTTTTTGTCTTTTCAGCACTAGAAGCATGCCCGTACTTATTGCAAGAGGGTGGTAGTCTGGTAATTAAATTAATCCTACCCCCACCCTTTGCTGGAGGGCTTCACCAAAAGCTTATTCAGAGTATACACTTTGTTCCTTTCGTGCATTGGTTCCGAATGATCTCACTGCGGAAGGAAATCAAATGGGAAAGTCATATTTTTAATGCATTTTAAGACGAGAGGTTTACATTCAACATGCTTCTGTTTCATTTGTGGGTCTCTCCCTCCCGAAGCGCTGTCAATTGCCACTTGGTTTGATTCTTTTCAAATGCAGCGTGGCAGCGACGCTGACCACATCAATTTCATATTCTCTTTTGTCTGACTCAAGGATATCAGACACTGTTTCATCTTAATGAGGTCTAGTTCTGCTCCTGTTACCAGGCTATTTTCTTCTGATAAATCGCAGTGTCCCACGGTGTCATTGCACCCGTAATAGCAGGCAGGTGAAGAGCCAATGACGCTTCCAAGCCCCCATGCTACTTCCCCGACTGAGCTATTGCCCCTGCGCTGGGCCGCCTCGTCTCGTGACCTTGGGCACCTTCCTCTCCCGTGGATTTCCCCGTGTCACGATGAGGCTCCTCACTCTCAGAGGCCCTGAGTCATGGTGTGAAAAATGTGTCCTTAAAACAATGTGACATGCGGGCCCAACTTGAAAGGTTTTCTGCCTCTTGCGAAGGGTCACTTTCTCTCTTTGGCTGTTAAGAAGTGCCAAAGCCAGCCAAAAAAGGCTTTCCCCCTAAAATGACAGAGTCAAATACATGTGAAATAATGAAAAAAAAAAAAAAAAAAAGCCAGTCTTACTTCCCTAGATGATGCAGCCAAAAGAAAATTCTGAAATGATTAATTATTCACTCTTTCATTCTACATGAACTGAACTCCAGCTTTGGGGAAGACGTTATTCTAATTGGTATGCGGGATACACAGCTCTATATTGGGCTCTGAAGACCGGGTGGGATTTGGACCTCATTTGGGGCGGCAGCAGAGAGATGTTTCCGCTGGAGGAAACAGTATGTACGGTAACAAAGAGGAGAGTACGGAAGTTGTAGGGAGTACCGGACGTTTGGAAAGGCAGGCTGAGATCCGAAGGCATCACAACTTACTCTGGTATGCAAAAGAAAACAATGCTTTAAAGGATGAGGTATGCTTTAGGAATCCCAAACTTTTCAAGCTATTCCAACTCTCCCCAAAGTGTCTAGACTAAAGGATATTACAGAGGCCCATCATTCCAGTTGAGATGCAGCAGTGACCCAACTTAGGGTAGTTAACAGAGAGAAGACAGCGAACACCAACATCTGAGGTTGATATTTTAGAAATACCATTAAGAGGGCTTGGCAATTGATTGAAGGTGGTGCTGAGGCCAAGAGAGCAAGGGCATTGACTTTGAGGTTTCAAATTTGCATGACTGGAAATGTCCTGGTGGTGATGGAGTTGATTAAGAAGACGAGATGACCAACTGGGCCGGGTATGGGTTTAAAAGACTGATAAGAAATTCATGTGATGATGTCTGGCAGGCAGTTTGAAAATGATGTACCATGGCTGGGGAAAGGTAGTTTTGGAGAGGGAAATTTTTGGTGGGGTGGTTGACTGTATGTGTCTGTGTGGAATGGAAGAGAAAAAATTCAGGAGCGGTCACAGCTATTTAGGGAACAAGAGAAAGAGGCAGACTCTGAGCAGCGTATGTGAAAAAGTTAAAAGAATAAGAAAGAGGGTTTAGAGTCACAGAAGATATTGGGAGAAGCATGTCTGTGAATGATGAACAGTGTTAAATACTTAGAGTCATGATAGCAAAATGTGGTTGCCCTTTAGAAGCACCAGAGAAGTGCTACAAAATACAGATACCCAAGATACTCACTCAGAGATTCTGCTGTGTGAGACCCAGGGTGATGCTTAAGAAATGCATTTTTAAAGAGCTCCCCAAGTGATATGGAGGAAGAGAATTGTGGGACATTGTTCAACATTCTTCAAAGGCTTGGTTTGAAGATACTAACATCTAGGGAGGGTTGCATGAAGGATACTCCATCTATCTATTTTGCTCTATACGTAACATTTTCTTCTTGGATTCAGCCAGCCTAGGGTGCAGCTGATTTTCTGGAATGCACCATTCTGCCCCTTCATTGTGCTGTCCTAGTTGCGCTCACCTTTGGGGTTCAGCCACTGGCCTTCATTGAGCTGTATAAAGAACTCAGTCTCTTGAAAGTCATTATTGCATCATAGAAGAAAGCTATTGAGAATATCATCAAGTGAACTGACCCATGTATAAATTTTCACTCAGGTCTCAGTACCAAGACCAGTTATACTTCTCTTGAGCAATTGATTTCCTTTTTCTTTTTCTTTTCCAATAGTTTCAAAAAGAATGTTTTTTTTTTTTTTCTGGGTTGGCTGTTAGAAAATTCAGGTCCCCATAGGCAGCCAGCTGCTAGTGAAATATATGTGTGGCAATTATTTTTTCCTTTTCCCCATTTTCTTGGCTTGCTTTTAAAAGTATTGTATGTACTTTTATAAGTCACATCACATCATTTCAGGAGTAAAGAGTGACATAAGTAATAACTAAAATGTGAACGACAGAAAATGCTTAATCTTTCGAAATAGTCTATGCAAAAACCCTGAACTTTCTCCCTTCATTTCCCAGGGGCTGGATTTTTGAGTCACAGTATCATTCATTTACTGGAATTTGGGGCGGAAAAACAGTATTTGAGAAAACTTCTAGACTTGCAGAGGGCCAGATGTGTTCTTAGTTCACATTGTCTTTTGGCATTGTCTCATGTGACCAGTTTCCAGATAGTTATTTAAAGAAAGTTCCCAAACATAAATACGAACCAGGAAAGAAAAGATTTGGCAACTTTGGAACTTAGGAATTCTAAACAAAAATGGGGATAGAACATTAAGTTCTTAAATCTTCTCATGTAGAATCTTTGACATGAAGAGCTACATGTACAAATACAGTACACATTTGGTGGAAAATGTTTCTCTTTTCTCATACACACAAAGAGAGAGAGACACATACACTACTTATAGGAGAACGATTCTACGCTATATAAATTTAAACTAATTTTTTTCACTCAGGCAAATTTGGTCAAAACTTTGCATACACAATTTCTCTTGAAAAATACACGCATTAATCCAAGAGTCAGATACATCTGTAAATACTTGAAAATCAAACAGTTCATGCCACTTACACTGCCAAAGTGACACCCCATTTAAATTTTTCATAAATGTTTTCCAGATTTGCAAATCCTCTTTGATGTTTTAAATTTAATGAACAAGTGCTGAAATGGTTTTGCTGTGGAAGTGAGGCTTTTTAACCAATAGCTAATGTGGCTGTCTCGCTCACTTGGGGACACAATTTTTAGGTGGCCAAACGGAATCTACCTGCCTGGGAGTCATTGAGTTTTTTTTCAGTTAGAAGTGTTGTGTATATCCCTGTAGTTTTCCTTTGGGAGTGCCTGATCCCATCCACACCCAATCATGATCAACACCAAACAAAGCCAACGTGTTTGACGATCTCAGCTTTCCTTCCAGAACTAATGTGATTCTCAGTTCTCTTAACAGGTGTGCAGAAGTCTCCTAGGACTCTTGAGAGGCCTGGAGGCAAACCAGGGCTTGTGAAGAAGGGGAGGGAAAATAGTCCTGGTATAATATGCAGGGATAGCTTGAGTTTTGTCTTCAAGAGTGAGAACATGAAGCAGCAGAATAACAAGCCGTCCCTTTAATGTAGAGAAGGGTCCCAAAAGCTATATATGTATATCTGGGCCATTTCCCCAGATTTTTCTAATGCGACGCTTGGGAGCAATGATTCTGGCACAAAGAACTTACACACAGCAATGAGCCTCCTGTCCTGCTTCCTGGGAACACGGCCCTGCTGGACAGACTGATGTTCCTCACCTGCAAGTGAGTCAACACCATGTTCTCATAAGAGACCTAACAGAGAAGGAGTTTCCCCCAGAATTCCCATCTCTTGCATATTAACCAAGCTCCCTTGGAGAAATGTCTATCCACAGTGCCAGCAGCATTGGCACTGGCTGGGAGTCTGTTAAATGGGCACATTTACCAGCCCCGCCCACACCTACTGAATTGGGATGTCTGGAGCTTGAGTCCTGGTCCTCCCATCCTCCCTTGCAGGATGATAAGTGGTGGTGTCAGGAGTTGAGAGGCCTCCTTTTCCCTGGGCCCTGGGCTCTTCAGGCCTTTAGTGTTGGCCTCCGCCGAGTGCCTTGCTCTCAGCTGCCCTCAGTGTGGAGCTCGCTCTTGCAGACTGTCCCTGCAGATGCCATTCAGCTGTTTCCTTCCAACTGGTCGATTTTCCCCAATGGACCCCCTTCAACAATACCATGCATCCTCCACTGTTTCTTCCCAACCCTGGGGCCATGTTATTGTGTTTCCTTTCTTGCTATTGAGTGGGGAGAGGAACCGCTGACTATTTCTGAAAGCAAAGAGTAAAATATCCCTTCTAGAAAAAACCACAACAAAAAACCCCCAATTTTTCCTTTTCATTCTTCAAGTGCCCATATCATGTACTTCATTGGCTTTTTCTCATTCTTCATTTTGTTCTTAGTCCTCAATCTTGAATAACTCACCTTCCCAGAGGTGAAGCCAAAGAAGGTCTAGTTTCCAGTTTAAAAACTATATGAAAAAAGAAATCAAGTCATCTTCAACATTCAATGTCCACTCTTTTGACAGAGGCCAGGGTGCTACCCAGGAGAGAGCCGCTGGGGTTGGAACCGTCTCTGCTTTCCATTCTGAGATCCTGAACCACTGGCCTATTTTCCACCTTTGCTCACTGCAGTGTAACTAGTTGCTCTTCTTTTGCCAAAATTCCTGGTGGTGGTAGTATATGCGTTACTGCGAGTATAAAATTTGGGTAACAAAACGGAGAAAGAAATAGACTGACAATATCCTCAGTAAGACACCCTGAAGGACAAGCTGAAGGTCACAGTTGGATCTTCAGCTGCAAACTTCAAGGACCAGGCAGGATGCAGCTAATCATTTGGAAGTAAAGGTTGTTTCCTGGTTCTTCCGTTAGGACTCGGAGTCGACATGGCTATATACAGAATGCTTCCAAACATGTTTTTGGAGGATCTTAAGGAATTTACCTTCCAAACGAAAATTTGGAGTTGGGTCAAAGGACTAACTGGATCCCCCTCCTTTGAATATACAAATTAAAGAACGCATATCCCAAGAGCTGGCTTTAATTATTCGTCATATGGACAGTTTGGGATCCTGACTCGGGAATCAGGATATTACGTCGTCTTTCTATCCGACTGTTTTGAGCCTTCACAGACTGATCCAATTAATTGCTCTTCTCCACTTATTGCAGCCTTTTGTGAGCTATTATTCTACCTCTTTTGAACTCCACTTCCTGCTCACCACTCAACCTTCACAGTTCCTCTGCACAGATACTCTTTCTTTCCCCCGCTTCCCCTTTATCTTGAACTCTTTCGGTTTAAATATCTTTCCCAGCCTTCGAAGAAGCGCTTGAATTGCAGAAGGATGTCACCTGTGTGCCGCGTTGCCCAGGGAAGAAGAAAGAAAAGCGTCGTTCGTTGCAACCCCAGTGTTAACTTCCTCTGACCATAATTAGCTCATCCGCTGAGTGCAATTAAAACTGTCATCCTGGTGGAGTGGCAGAGCCAGCTCAGGAGCTGAGCCTATCTGCTTTTCCTTCCTTGCAAGCTTGGAAACAAGCTCAGCCCCGTTACTGTCTTCCGATGTGACGTCCCCGGCCAGCCTGGAGGACGAGAGAGGGCCTGCTGCTGAACTCCCAGCCCATCAGCTGCACTCTGACACCTCCCCCCAAGAGCATGAGAACGATGACAACGTGGGTGCCACAGATGACGGGTTACGTGCCCTCGAGAAGACAGCACGATAGAGAGAAAGGCTTGTAATTTTAGGGCGGTGTGAACATGTGAATCTCAGAGCATTGACAGTTCTGTGTTGTCTTCCCATACAGACATGCTTAAGCATTTGGGGGAAACAATGAACAAAACCGAGCAGACCAAGGAAGGAAAAGGTGCTTCTGGCTACTTTCCAGAAGCTTCTTGATGGTGACGTGGAGGCCCAGGCCTTGCACTTGACCGTGGCTATACCAAGGCTGAGTTTCTGCTTCCTTCCCCCCCCCCATTCTCCGTGCCTCTGACGCTAGGGACAGCTGTGCTCAAGGACGGCTTCCTCTAGCCCCGCCCACACCCGCCCTGCTGTCCGCAGGCTTCAGCACGTCGTCCATGGCTGGGTCCTGGTGACTCCGTGTCCCTCTCCAGTCTCAGATGTTTGCATTTTAACAGAGGAGAAGGCTCCCATCCGTCAACTCCACGAAAGCAAGAAAATCAGATCTGTAATGGGCGCCACTAAGTGTGTGTTGACTGATTGATACAATTTTTATTTTGAGATGGGGTCTTGCTCTGTCGCCCAGGCTGGACTGTAGTGGCACGATCATAGCTCCCTGTTGCCACAAACTCCTGGGCTCAAGTGATTGTCCTGCCTTGGCCTCCAGGTATGTGCCACCACAGGACTACAGGTATGTGTCACCACACTCAGATAATTTTTTAATTTTTTGGTAGTGATGGGGTCTTGCTATGTTGAGCAGGCTGGTCTCAAACTCCTGGCCTCAAGCGACCCTCCTGCCTTGGCCTCCCAAAGCCTTGGGATTACAGGTGTGAGCCACTGCACCTGGCCTGATATAATTTGAATGGTTGCTCTTCAGGTCTCACGATAGGAACACCAGGACAGACAGAGTCATGCTGGCATGTAAATGGGACAGAATAGTTATCTTTGGGGTGGACTTTAGCTCATACTCAAAGAAGCTGATTCTGCGAGTTTATGGGTGGTAACCTGCCCTCTGGGTGAACCATCTTGGGGAAGGGGAATTTGCTTTCTGGAATCGGGGGAAGACTGGATTGTGTGCAGGTGGAAAGAGGCAGGAAGATCTGCAGAATTCAAGCCGTGCTTCCTCCTTGATGCCTTTGTGTGTTTTGCCATTCTGTTAAGCGATGTGTTGGAAATGAAGATTCCAGTAGGGTTGGGGTGGGCGATCTCAGGGGTGGAAATCTATTTCTTTCCTGAAGTTCAGCCACCAAGCTGGCCATTCTCAGAATCTCACTGGCTTGCCATTCATGGCTCTGTCCTGTCACCGATATACTGTCCCACGTTGGTGAAGCCAC